AGCATTAAAGTTAAAACAAGTAGAGCTAAAGGAAAGAGTATGGTTAAGGAAAAACTGAGGGAAAAGTGGCAGGAAAGGTGGGATGAAGAAACAACAGGAAGATGGTATTATAAGATTCAGAAGATGGTAGGAGAAATAAGAAAGGGAAGAAGAAATAGAAAAGAGGAAAAAGTGATAACAAGGATAAGATTTGGGCATACAGGACTTAACTATACACTTTTTAGAATTCAAAAGCATGCAACTGGTAAATGTGAGTATTGTGGAGAATGGGAAACAGTAGAACATGTTATTATGATAAATATGAAAGAGAGGAGATATGAAAAAAGAGTTTGAAAGTATTAAGGAAAAATTTAGTTTAATAGATATTTTGAGGAAGAATTTGGAGAGCAAACATATACAAATAGTTATTAGATTTTTAAAGAAAACTAAGATATTCAGTAGAATTTGATAGAGTAAGTATAAGAGTTAATGTGTGGATGATAGAAATGGGTAGAATATAAATATGGATGTAAGTATGTGTGTGTAGGTATCAGTATAGTTCTAGGGATTTTTGGGTTTTTTTCTCTGTAGACGTTTGTAGATGTATGTATGTGTATATATAGGTATACATATAGAGAGAGAATTAGGGTGGGATGGACCTAACGGAGTGGGCGTCGGACAGGAGAGGAGGTTGGAGAGTGAATGGAACAAACAAGGCGGTAGGATTTGAATTTTGGCGGATCGCATTAGCTGTACATTGACTGTAGCAGCATGGCTTCTACATCAGGAGGAAATAGTGGGAATGAGATGATTGGATGATTTCTAGATCATCACGAATGAAAACAGCTATTAGGAAAATACAAGAGAGAGCCAGAAGTTGGTCAGAAGGAAGTGAGGCAAGAGCTGACATTAGCAGAAGGACAAAAACAAACTAAAGGGCGAATTCAGAAGAACAGAGTCAAGTTAATTTAGGAGCAGAATTTAAAGTTATGGTAGAATTCAAGCAAGAGGGGGGAAGCTATACATCCCATAAAACTGACCAAAGCAATAGAGGCAGAAATAGGAAAAACCAAAATGGCTAGAATCATGAACAGAAGAATGCTAATACATGCTAACAGTGAATCACAGCAACAGAAGATCATGAAAATGAAAACCCTGATGGGGGAAAGAGTTAGAATCAAATTCCAGGATTGTTAGCGAGGCTGAGAGGAGAGATTTGAAATGACAATGGAGGATGTGAAAGCAGAAATCAAAGGAGGGAAAATGACAGATGCCACCAGGATTAAAAGTAAAAGAGATGGGAACTTAAAGACCAAAGCAGGCACTATGGCAGTAATTTTACAGTTTGAAAATATTGTGCCAGGAAATATCCAGCTGGGTTACATAAACTATAAAGTTAGAGAGTAAATCCCTGAACCCCTCAGGTGTTTTAAGTGTCAAAGAATGAGACACACTGCAAAGGAATGCAAAGGAAAAATCAGGTGTGCAAGATGTGGAGGTCCACATGAATATGGAAAATGTGAGAAAGATGCAAAAATCAAATGTTGTAATTGTGGAGGAGAACACAGTGCAGCTTATGGCGGTTGCCAAATACAAAAGGAAGCTAGGGAAGCTCAAAGAATTAAAATTACAGAAAGAATTTCATATGCTGAAGCCTTAAAAAGAGTAAAGAAAGACAGTGGTAGAGGAAGAGGAGAAACAGGTCAAAGAAACTCAGTTTGGAATACAAATCAAGTGCAGAACGGGCAGAGACAAATCCTAGTCCAAATCCAAATATTCAAAATATATGCTTTTGGATATTTGCATTTGAATAAAAAGAAAACTTTGTAGCATTTATGTGCCATTTTATTAATGTAACAGTGCAAATGAAGAAGAAAAGTGATAAAATAAAGGCAATAGTAACAGCAGCTGGAAGATTTTTAGATATAAAGAAATACAAGCAGATCAAATGCTGAGTGCCACTGAAACTACAGAAAATACTCAGGATTAGGATCCAAAATGGTTTCACATTTTCTCAATGGATGCTTGAAGCTTAATAGCCAATGGACAAGAATTTAAAAAGTATATTTATGAATTAGAAATAATCCCTGATATTATATGTATTCAAGAAACATGGTTAAAACCAAACCTAGACTTTAAGATTCCTGGATCCAGCATGGAAAGACAGGATAGAAGTGATGGTAATGGAGGAGGATGTGCTACTTTAATTAAAGATGGAATAGCTTATAAGAAAATCCCAATGAATAATGAATTAGAATGTGTTATTATAGAAATATTTAATGTAAGACAATATGGTAATATTAAAATCATAAATTATTATAATTCATGTAAAAATCTCGATTGTAAAATGCTTAAGGAAATGGCTGGGAAATTACATAGAAGAGAATTATTTTAATGCCCATAATAGTCTCTGGGGTAGCAAGAAGACGGACCAAAATGGCAACATAATAGAAGAAATAATGGATGAAAGGTCATTAGTTTGTCTTAACAATGGAAAAGGAACCAGAGTATAAAAATACAACCTCATGTCTAGATATTACATTAGTATCTGATTGTCTTGTAGGTTCATGTGAATGGGACGTCAACAGGGAATCTACAATAGGAAGTGATTACTTTCCAGTGAGTACAATAATTAATGATAATATAAAGAAGTAAGAAGATGTCATAATCACAAGATGGTGTTTTAATAAAGCTGATTGGAAAAATTTTAAAGTAAATTGTGAGGAAAGCAGACATTTGGTTACATTAAAAGGCATATAGAAGAGTGTACAAGCCAGATAACAAATCATATTTTAAATGCTGCAAATTCAAGCATACCAAAAATAATAATAAAAGGGAATAAAAAAGTAGTTCCTTGGTGGAATGATGAATGTACTAGAGCGGTTAAAGATCGTAACAGGCCATTTAAAATACTGCAGAAAAATTTAACAATCGAAACTCTTATTGATTATGAAAAGAAAAGAGCAGTGGCTCGTAAAACTATTAAGGAAGTTAAAAAGAAAACGTGGAGAGAATATTGTTCCTCAGTAGGATCAGAAATAAAATTACAGAATGTTTGGTCGGTGTTTATTTAGGAAAATGATTGGGAAAAGGAGTGATGTTAAAATACCAGCCTTAGTCAGAGATCAGGAAGTAGTAGTGTTAAATAAAGATAAAGCAGATTTGTTGGGTGAGTCGTTTGCTGCAGTGCATAGTGGCAAACATCTTACAGACATTCATAGACAACAGAAGATTCAAAAACTTGGTAAGCATAAAAATATATTGGAAAAAAGTCAAACATATTAGACATGAATATAACCATGAAAGAAATTAAAACAGTATTGAAAAGGACAGGATATTCAGCTCCAGGGGAGGATCAGCTATGCTATGCTATGCTATGCTATGCTAGGCTATGCTAGGCTATGTAAAAACAGATTCCTGAAGTAACATTAGAATTAATATTAAAACTGTTTAATAAAATATGGAAAGAAGGTTTAATACCAAATAGCTGGAAGAGGGCAATAATCCCACCGTTTAATAAACCAGGGAAAGATCCTGTAAATCCAAATAATTACAGACCAATAGCATTAACTTCACACCTAAGTAAGTGGATGGAGAAAATAATAGTTAATTTGAATTTACTCTTGATCATAAAATATTAATTAATGAAAATCAGTGTGTATTTAAGAAAGGGAGATCAACAATGGATGCAATAACCAGAGTCAGTAATGATATAGAGAAAGCTTTAAAATGAAAGAGATTATGGTATTTTTTGATATAGAAAAAGCTTATGGTTCATTATGGAGAGAAGGACTACTTATAAAAATGAAGCAGATGGGAATAGGAGGGAAAATGTTTAATTGGATAGCAAATTTTTTGTTGGATAGAAAAATAAAAGTTAAAAATTGAAATGATTACTCAAAAGAATTTAATGTTGAAAATGTAATTCCACAAGGTAGTGCAATTAGTCCAATACTATTTAATATTATGATAAATGATATAATTTCTGAAACAGAAGAATGTATAAAATCTGCATTATATGCTGATGACGGGGTTATATGGATGAGAGGAAAGAATACAAGATATGTGGTAGGAAACATTAAGAAAGCACTTAATAAAGTAGAAAAATGGTCCTATGAATGGGGTTTTAAATTATCAACAAGTAAATCTTGTTATATGATTTTTACAAATAAGAAAAATATTGACATAGGAACAATAACATTATATGAACAACCATTGGAAAGGGTAGCAGAATTTAAATATCTGGGAATATGGTTGGATCAATCATATACATGGAAAACACAAATAGAGAACCTGGAAACTAAATATAAGAAAGTTATAAATTTACTAAAGGCTGTGGCTGGAAATAACTGGGGTGCAGATAGACAGTCATTACTAAACATATATAGGGCTCTCATGAGATCAATAATAGATTATGGTAGTTTTATATATGGAGTAACTAAAACAACATTACAAAAAAGAGATACATTACAGAATAGGGCTTTACGTATTTGTACAGGAGCAGTGAAAACGACACCTATTAATGCCCTTCTAATAGAGACTGGAGAGATTCCAATGGAAATAAGAAGAATCAAATTAGCTCTAACATATTGGATGAGAATAAGAAGCAGCAAGATGGAAATGTAAATTCAACAATATTAAAATATTGTTGGGAATACTCACAGCTCCAGAGTGATGGATTTGGATGGATCATAATGGATTAAAATGTATGGATTAGAAGATGATCCATACAAGGCATTGATATTGGTTCTATCAGCAGATGAAGGCGTAAAAGGCAATGAAAGGGCAGATAAATTAGCAAAAAGGGCTTCAGATCAGCCAATAACAATTAAATGGAGCTAAGGCGTAAATTCAAGCTGGGAGACAGAACACAGCTGATCTACATCACAGCTGATCCTCTTCAATCACGTCACACCCTGCTGCAGCCAATCAGGATCGGCGCCCTCGCGCGTCCCAGCCAATCAACGTCAAGCTGGTCCATTCAAGAAGATGAGCTTCCGGGGATCTGCCTGCTCGTCAGCTGTGCTTCGTCTTTGGTCTGCAGCACCGTAGATGTCCTTCCCTTCTTTCACCGCTCAGGTCCAGGAATCATCCCTTGGCCGCCGGCTGCACTTCGTTAATCTTCCAGTGGCTCCTCACAGATCCTACTGCCGCTCCTAGCCTTCCTTCGGCCTCCATCGGCGGCGTCGAAGCGGGACATCTCCCCTTTTTCATGTCGTGGTCACATTCCGTCATCCGCCTGGTTCCCTGCTCCGGCTCACGATCGTTCAATTGCTGCGGCTCTCCGACGCTGCCCCGCAGTCGTGCGCAGGTTCTCCCCAAGACCTGCTTTGGTTCCTCCTGCTCTTTCTGCTGTCTCATCACGACCTGGCTCCATTACCTGGACGGTCTCCTCCTGTTCGTCTCCGGGAGTACGCTGCCTCCGGACCACTGCGTTCACTTCCGCGTGTCTCGGCTCTCAGCCGGCTCTTCAGTCTCATCATACCGTAACCTCTCCCGCCCATCGAGGGCGTTGCCAGGTAAGACGTACCCGCTCCTGTCCAGTTCATCAGCCGTTCGCTCAGCTCTCAGTCAGTGCACCAGCACTTCAATGCATGTTCATGTCGCCCCTGTGCGGGTCAATCTGTACGTCTCAGGGACATCCGAACGCTTAGTGCAGTCAGCGAGCTGGGTTCACCTCGTCTCAGCCTAATCGGCTCTCAATTCAGCATTTCGTTCCGGCATTCCCCGCCCGGCCCCGAAGCCCTCGCCTCAGTTGCTGGCTTAGATCGCTCCATTCCGCCAGGAGCCCAGTCGCTCCTCGGCACACCCTGCCCTCTAATCCCAGAGGCCCGCAGGCTGTCTGCCACAGCTTTAGCTTATTTAAACAGGATGTGATTCTTTAAGGTCACGGACGAGTCCGGGTGTTAAGTCTGGTTCGATAAGGGTTTGTTTCTCTGTTGCTGCTCTTATATTTAGGGGTTGTGCTGTCTGAGCATCTCGGTTAGCTCCTGTAATTCTGCCTATTGTGCGGCTCTCTCTGGCCACCAGAGAGCGGCGCTCAAGGCAATACATGTTTCCTAAGGCGTCAGGGTACGCATCTTGGCCCTTCCCGTGTTGCTATTCTACTTCCCGAATTCAGCGCGAACCGGTTTGTCTTAAACTTAAGTTGCCAACAACCTCCGGTGTTAAGAGCCCACGCTCATCGCTAAACAAGCGTTTAGCTTAATCGCCTAGTCCGAAATTAATATAAGTCTCACCAGTATTTCAGTAGCTTTGTATATTCGTGCACTTCGAATGTATTATGGGAATTTAAGTCTCAAACGCAGTTCACGGCTTTCTCATGGTCTCCTGCTACCGGACAAATTTAGAAATGGCGATCATGTCGATCAAGATTTATACCCTCATTCATTTCCTCTTCTGCATTCCTCGGAGAACTCACTCAGCCTATGAAAGAAGCCAGGTCTTTGCTGCCTGTCACTCACGGCCATTACTCTCCCCGAGCTGATCCATCCCTCTTAGAACCAATGCTCGACTAAATGACACTCTACATCCCTTCCTGTGTTCAGTATGTAATTGCACAAAATCGGGTTTTGCCCTTCTACTCCTTCCTCGTTTATGTCGTCCGGCAATCAGTCACCAAGTCCTGCTCAGTTATGAATCCGTCTCCCTTACTCCTCCAGTTCTCTCAGATACTTTAAGACGTCCAGTTCTCACCTTCATTACTCACCGTCTCGATGATTGTTGATCCAAACTTGTCACGTCCAGTTCTGCCTGTCGGAATTATTTTCCGTGTAGCGCTTCAGCGATCTAGCACATCATCTAGTCTCTCCTCGATCCCTAGTCAAGGTATCTCCGTTACAAAGGGTCTTCTTTCACCAAGCGCCTCGCTCCCTTCCTAGCATCCTTCGAATTTCTTAGTCCGTTCCCAATCCTTCCCTGACCTCTACAACCTCCTCTTAAGCTTGCCGAAAGGCACTACTACCTATTCTGCACCCACAGCCGGTTCAGCATTACCATTGTCCAAGTTTCCTACAGCTTCTATCATCGCTCGTCCATCCCCAGCCTTCCTTTTCATGTCAGACCGAACTTCAGCTGTGCATGAAGCTCAACGTTCTTATCCGCAACGTGAGTATCTTTCAAATGCCTGGTGACGGAGCACTGACAGTCTTTAACACATTCTTACCTAGTAATCCGGCAGACCAGTGGCCTTCGGCCTTTAGTTAGCGCTGACACATCATTCACAGCTCAAAGGGCCCCAGCGAACGACGCTACTCGCGCCCCTCGTAGGGCACCCTCCAACAATGTGGCTCGCGCCCCTTGGAGGGCCCCGCTACAGCAGCGTCGTATTAATAATAATAATTAAAAAAAAAAAAAAAAAAAGTATTTATATACTTCACTACTTAAGTGTTTCGAAGTACAGGGCATTTCAGATACTTTAAGAATTTAACCCAAGTAACATTCAGTCAGTGACTTCGACTCTACAAAAGGCACTTTTCGGAGAGGTTCCTATTCTTTCACCAGAGTGTAGTACTTGTACAACATCGCCCCGCAATATTGCTGCGCCTCAATATTGCAGACAACAGGTCAGCTAGGTCGACCAAGCCCTCTTGCCTAAGCTTCGCTGTACCAACCACCTGCTCGGTGATCCTCAGCCAGGAGCTATTAATTCTACCTCATACTCTGTCACCGTGTCCAACGTCCTCGCCTTCATCACCCACTGTCAACCTTCGTCAGTCAAATCCCCTATATTCTGTCGTTCGCAGGAATCAATCTTCACGCAAAACTTTCGCAACCAAGCACAGCACCCAGTCTCCTTTCAAACCCAGCCGCGAAACTTCTACTCTTTGACCTCTAAGCATTCCACCAGGTATCCCAACCGCTGAAGCCTATCACTCTCCCTCTACTCATAAAGCTCATCACCGTGCTCCGAGCTTGTACTTTCTCCCCCTATGTTAAAGCGCTCCTCTCCTGCGCTCTTCTTCAAGCATTGTATCGTTTCCTCAGGTCGGGCGAGTTCGCCTCAGCTTCTCCAGTCTTCAACCCTTCAAAAGATTTATCAATCGCCGATATCAAGTTTTTCCCCGACCATTACACCCTCCTAATCACGCACTCCAAAATTAAAGGTCTTCGTACTTTTTCTATCGCACGCATAGACGGTCCATCTTGCCCCTTCCGTGCCACACTCAAAATTGTGTGCAAAAGGCATCAAATTTATCAGGAAGCTAAACCCCGGTTTATAGCTCCCGTAGGCTTCCCCACGACCGCAGACTGGTTTATCCGCCACCTCCGCCCTATTTTACGAGAAGGCGGCCTTCTCCCCGATCATTATTCAGGACATCTATTTAGAATAGGCGCTGCTACGTCCGCCACAGCACAAGGCGTCCCCATCGCTTCCCTCCTCCAGCTTGGCCGCTGGTCATCTTCGGCCTTCACTTCCTTCTTCAGACCCAATCTCGCAACTGTGCTCGAAGCCCAACGCTCCATGTCATCAGGGCCATTTTTAACCATTAAATTTCAAGGGGAACCGGCCAGACCAGATCCTCAGCCTTCAGCCCGGCAGCAACCGGTCCCCTCTCCGCTCCTCATAGCTCATCGTGCTCATCAGGCCTCGTATACGTCTGTCAGTCCCCGCCAACGATGCGGCTCGCGCCTAACAAGTTTATCAGACTGCAGGCCCCGCTTCAGAGCCTGCATACAGTCCGTCGGACTGCAGGCAGCTAGGCCTCGGCCGGCACCCTCTTTTTGGGGGGTAAGACTAGTGAGCTTCGCCGGACTCAGCATCTTCCCCCCGGCGATCTACGCTCACTAGTCTTCCGCCGGTTCGAGCGCCAAAGATTTGTTCATTAAAATCCTCTAACTGCTTATTTTTCTCTGTGTGAGTTGATCCAGATTGAAATACCTATTGGGAAAGGGAAGGGAAATCAATTAAGAATAAAGAAATGGAAATATGGCAAAAAAGGTGGAATGAAGATAAGAAAGGAAGGAAATTATATAAAATACAGAAGTCAATATTAAGTAGAAATATTAAGGAGAGAAATAGAAGGGAAGAAATAATAATGATTAGATTAAGAGTACGTCATACATATTTAAATGATACTTTATATATAATAGGGAAGAAAAGTAATGATAATGAAAGAAAACGTAGAGCATGTATTTATGAACTGTAAAACATATGAACGTGAAAGGGAGAAATTGAGAAGAATAGTTGGAAGGACAGATCAAGAATGGAGTTTGAAAGGAATACTGGGAAATGATGGAAATATAATATTTTGCATATTAAGAAAAGCATTATTTATTTTTCTTCAAAATACAAAATTAAAAAATAGAATCTGAGGTAAAGTGCTGTTGCTACACACTCGTGTACAGTAGGTGGCGGTATGCACCTTAATGTTGCTTGCAATCCACCATAATAGAAAATATGCAGAAGAAGAAGAACTATCAGACCACAGGCAGCTTCAGATCAACAGCAGTGACAGCAGGCAGCTTAACATCAGGCTGAACTGAGGATCTTACTGAGAAACCATGAAGATCTTCGTCTTTCTCTGCTTCGCTCTGAGTTTCATGGATCTGTGTCTCTGTGGAGGTGAGCAGATAAAATGTTTTTCATCAGAGCAGCAGCACTGAAACCAGTCAGGATGATTCAACTTGTTTCATTAAGAAGCTGTAGAAAAAGCTCCAGTGGTTTTTAATATTTAATATGAATATGTTTTAATATGAAGCTGCATCAACTTGGATTATTTCAAACTGTTTCTCTTGTTTATATCTTGACAACCTGATTAAAATGTGATCAGGAGATGATCTGAAGGTTGAGGCAGTTGGGATCAGATCGCTGTTCTTAGTGGCCGTTTGCCAGATCATGAGAAACAAGTTTCTGTTTCTGCTCTGATAGTTTTGCTTTATTCTTGTTGTTATTCTGATGTTTCACTTTAAAATGTTTTGCTGTCTTGTATGTTTTGACATGATTATATAAATTCAAACCATACTGAAGATATAATCAACACCAAAAACATTTATCTGACTGTGACTTTAAATTATTTTCATATTCAGACTATGCATACAATCCCAAATTAGTGTCTGCAGAAGAAACTTTACATTTATGAACCAACAATACAGAATATGAGAATCACAATAGATTTGCTCATAAACACAAACTGGGAATTTAACTTTAGTTTAATCTGTAAAAAGCATAAATATATAAACTGTAGACTGAATAAAGCATTAAAGGAGAAGTAGCTCCATGTATTTGCAAACAGGAAGTAGAAGGTTTGGTGTGAAACTCTTGTTGAGTTTCCCCGCCTGACCCTCAGGCTGGAAGACGATCCGTCTGACAGAAGCTGGTCTCTGAGGTGGAGCCTCAGACGGGTCCCTGACAGGCAGGCATTAATGTACGGAGGAGGAGCGGGGCCTTGAACGCAGCACTGGACCCGCCTGGTGCTGACGGCTACTGGGAGGAGGAGACGCTGCTCATCCTCACCTGCTGTCAGGCACTGAGGAAGCTGATGACCCACTGGCAGGTGGAGGAGCTGCTAGGATGTTTAGGGTTGATGATGCTGAAAGCTGATAGAACATGAACTGCATGACATTATTTGGTCAAAGTTGCGTCTGAATAAAAGTACAAATAATGTCTGCCGTATAGACAGATCTATTTTAGACATGAAGACTTTTAGTCTTTGTTTTGTTGTATTGTTAAAGTAAAGATCTGAACTCTGGATCATTTTGTTTTGGTTTATTTTTACAGATCCTGTAAACATCAAAGCAGAACCAGGAGAGAACGTCAATCTGCCATGTGAAGCTGACAGGAACAGCAAAGTCTCAGCTGTAATCCTGACCAGAAACGACCTGGAACCAGAATATGTGTTTCTCTACAGGGATGAAGAGATTGATGTAGATCTCCAGAACCCTCAGTACTCGGGCCGAACAGAACTGCACAGCCTTTACATCACTGATGGAAAGGTCAATGTGACTATAAAGAATGTGACAGAGAAGGACAGTGGAGACTATGAATGCAGTGTCAGGGCTGGAATAGGAAGCAACACACGCAGGAAGAGAGCCGCTTCAGAAAAGACCACCACCATCATAAAGCTGAGTGTAGCTGCTGCTCCTCCTCCAGGTGAGTGTTTGTCTCTGGATCAGAACCAGCAGGTCCTGGTTCTGGATCTCAGATCAGATAATGATGATCTTCAGTGGGATCAGACTAACTCCTGGTTCTGTTCTGCAGGTGGAGGACACATTGGACCGGTTCTGAAGGTGGTTGCTGTGGTTGCTGTTCTGGCTCCTCTGGTTGGGTTTGTCTGGAAGAAGAGAAATGTTTCTCCTCCCCAGGATGAAACTGTAGAGACTCTTCAGGCCTGACTAGCAGCTGTAAACATCAGCAGATATTGTTATTATGCTTTGCCCTGCTTACATCAGTGTAATCCAGCCATTGGACAGACACAAGACCGAACATTCCTAATGACGGTCCCAAGCCCGGAAAATGGGGAGGGTTACTGAGGAAGGGTTGGGTTCCTATTTCAATCTGTGGGCTGAAACTTATTAATCACAATATTTCAACAAATTACATCAACTGATTAACAGACTTATTACTTTCTGTAATATTGACCTGGGTACATCCCTAAATAATACGTTTTAAGAAGCGTCTGATTTTAAATCTCTCTTCTGTTAACACATCTGTTTCTGTGTTTCTCATTTATGATTATATTTTAGTCTTCTGGTGTCAGTTTATTGTGACATTTAATAAAAGCAAAATGAGAAGCTGAGCTAGTTGTTAATAAGTATAAATTTATTTCCTCACCAACATGAACAAACAAGATCACTAATGATGGTCATCAGTGATCTTTTTGTGTTTTTATTCTCTAAGTTTGCATGATTGGAATTAATGACAAGAATGAAATAATCTCATTTAGTGAAATGAGTTGTGTCTCTGTGACAAAGTGGTTCAGTTTGTGTTCACCACTTGTCCCTTATTCTTATTTCTGATTCATTTACTTTCTGTAGCTGGTCATAATGCTTAAATTTAAACATTACTTTGCAACTTTGCTTCACTTTCTATCCTGGGTTTGTTTGTGTTAGCATCATGTTGCAGTTTATATCTATTTATATGTTTAGGTTAAAATTATTACTTCTGGATTGGCTCAAAATGGCTCCTCTGAGCTACAGAGGAGCCATTTTGAATGTTAGACTGAGACGGAAGAATCACATCAACAACCGGGTTTTAGAAACGACACATTCCCAAGTCTTCCTACATGATAAACTGGTGAAATAATTCATCAGTTTATCACATCAAATATTATTCTCTAAATCATCTTGTCTTCATTTTGACTGCAGACAGTTTGCAGAACCTGAAACATCATTTCAGCTCAGATTTAAATATGTTTGGTCTTAATGAGTTCAACAAGGTTTTTGTGAACTATTTTTATTCTTCCAATAACTTCAGTAATGTTAGCAGTTAAAATGAGGAAACAGGCTTCAGTAAAGATAGCTTTCGTTTCTCAGAAACCAGTTGCAATGTCACTGTTGCTGTTTGCTGCTTTTTCTACAGTGAAAGAGTCAATTGATCACTTTTCTTAGCAGATTAAAACTGAGCCTGTTTCTCTAACGGATCAGAACCGAGAGAAGCAAACTGTAAACTGAAGCTGTTTCTTTTTCTCTCCTTGATGTGAATCATCAGCAGGTTTTACTCAGCCTGCAGCTCTTCCTGTTTCTCACGGTGAGACTTTGTAACGAAAGTTACTACTGTAACTACGGTTCTATGAATCCCGGGTGACCGCCAGAGGCGGTGCTTCAAGCACTGGATGACTCATAACAACAAGGTCACGAGGAATCGGCAACATCCAAAGGATAACCACCGCACTACCCACCTCCATGTGATGTAGGGGTATGCTGCTCCAGAATTCCTTGAAGGGGATGGGGCGCAGCCACATTCACCCTGTAAAACCGTGTAAAGGTACTAGCCGACTTCCAGGAGGCTGCACTGCATATAACGTCCAACGGTACCCCAGACATGGCTGCAAACGAGGTCAACATTCCCTTCATAGAGTGGCACCACACACCGGCCGGCAGCCTCTGGTCCTGCAAGGCATAAGCCTTGGAGATCAAATCCACCACCCAGTGTGCAGGACGTTGCTTAGAAAGCGCCTGACCCTTTCATGAGCCAGCGTAGCAAACAAAAAGGCTATCTCTCTGTTGGAAGGATGCCGTGGCATCGATATATCCCTCAAGGGCACGAACAGGGCACAGTGGCTCAGAGGAGCCACCGGTGTGAAACCAGGCAAGATGGAGTGGCTGGGTATTGCCTGCTGCCAACGACACCTTAGGAATAAATGCTACATCAGGCCACAGTGTAACACCTGAGCCATCCGGATTCCACCGGCAGCAGGGCTCAGCAATCGAGAGAGCCTGTAATTCCCCCACACTTTGCAGAAACCATCGCTAAAAGGAACGCCGTCTTCATTGAGAGCCATTTGAGGTCCGCAGATGCCAAGGGCTCAAATGGGTGGGACCGAAGAGCATCAAGCTCCATGGAAAGGTCCCATGCCGGTGCCACAGGACGATTGGGTGGGTGCAAACGTCGAGCACCTCTCAAAAATAGCACAACGTCCTTGTTCCGGCCCACTGAACAACCATTCAGACCGGCATGCCAGCAGGAAATGGCAGCCACGTACATTTCAAGGTAGATGGAGACCTTCCCCGATCCAGTAATTCCTGCAGGAAGGTCAGTATGTCAGAGACCGAACACTGCACCGGATCCCGCCCTTTATCATGGCACCAGGTCACAAAGGCCGCCCACTTGTTAGCATAGACAGCTCGAGTGGATGGCGCCCATACATTAGCCATTGTAGGCCCTTCCGACCCAGTATATCTGGAGAAAGTGGCTCCCGGCCTTGCAGGGGTCAAAGCCAGAGCTGGAGCTGGTCCGGTTTGGGGTGCAACATCTGACCCCCCATCTGGGAAAGAAGATCCCTCCTGGAGGGGAGACGCATTGGAGAGCCCACGCTGAGCTCACGAAGGAGAGGAAACCAAGTCCTTGCTGGCCAGCAGGGGGTCACCAACAGAACCCTGTGCCCTTCCTGACAAATCCTCAGGAGAGTCTGGAAAAGTAGGCTGAACAGTGAAAAGGCTTGAAGGAGGTTCCGGAGCCAGTCGTGTGCCAGCGCATTGTGGCCCAGAGGACCGCTGTCGTCCAAGGAGTACCAAAGGGGACAGTGAAATGTGTCCTTCGAGGCAAATAGGTCCACGTCCGCCCTGCCGAAAGCCTTCCAGATGCACTCCACCACCTCTTGGTGAAGTGGGAGGTGGTGGAGTGCAGAAACGGTTTCACCGTTTCTGACAGGAAAAAAATCAGCCGACACGTTCTGTGGGCCGGGGATGTAGGCTGCCCTGAGGCTGGCCAAGCATGGGGCTGCCCAGGTCAGGAGCCGCTGAGTCAAGTAAAATAGTTTCCTGGACCTGGTCCCCCCCCCCCGGTGGTTTATGTGAAAAACCACAGAGGTGTTGTCTGACCTCACCAGCACATGCTTCCCCCGTAACCCCGGAAGAAAGCTAAGGAGAGCCAGAAACACAGCCTGCAATTCCAGGAAGTTGATGTGTTCCCGGCCCTGCCGCTGGGACCATGTCCCCTGTGCCATTTGACCCTGCCATGTTGCACCCCAGCCCGTGGAGGATGCATCCGTGAACACAACTTCTCGACGACACGGGAGGGAACCGAATGGGACCCCCTGTGAAGACACTGAGGGCCCACCCGAAGTCTCCTGTGATGATGAGTGTACCTTGTGGAGTCCAGATTCAAGCTGTTCAACCACATCTGGAGGGGCCGCAAGTACAGCAGCCCCAAGGGCACTACGGCAGATGCTGCCATAAGCATGCCCAGGAGTCGAAAATACCGCACAACAGGTGGTGCCATGCCGCGCCTGAATTCTGGGAGCATGCCCAATATACTGTTCACCTGCTGGGGCGACGGACATGCAGTCATTGAGATGGAATTCATTGCCATGCCCAGGAAGATGGTCCCCTGGGAGAGAGTCAAACTGCTCTTCTTCATGTTCACCTGCAAGCCCAAACGTTCCACATGATGGAGCACCAACCGAGTGTCCCGGATCGCCTGGTCCCGTGATGTGGCACAAATCAGCCAGTCGTCCAGGTACGGGAGGATCCTCAATCCTCGTCTCAGACTACTGAAACAGTTTCAGAAGTATTTAAACCAGTTTGAGATGCATTTAAACCAGTTTCAGTCGCATTTAAACCAGTTTCAGTTGTATTTATACCAGTTTCAGTCGCATTTAAACCAGTTTCAGTCGTATTTAAACCAGTTTCAGTCGTATTTATACCAGTTTCAGTCGCATTTAAACCAGTTTCAGTCGCATTTAAGCAGTTTCAGTCGTATTTAAACCAGTTTCAGTCACATTTAAGCAGTTTCAGTCGTATTTAAACCAGTTTGAGATGCATTTAAACCAGTTTCAGTCGCATTTAAACCAGTTTCAGTCGCATTTAAACCAGTTTCAGTCGTATTTAAACCAGTTTCAGTCGCATTTAAACCAGTTTGAGATGCATTTAAACCAGTTTCAGTCGTATTTAAACCAGTTTGAGATGCATTTAAACCAGTTTCAGTCGTATTTAAACCAGTTTCAGTCGTATTTAAACCAGTTTGAGATGCATTTAAACCAGTTTCAGTCGTATTTAAACCAGTTTCAGTCGTATTTAAACCAGTTTGAGATGCATTTAAACCAGTTTTCAGTCGTATTTAAACCAGTTTGAGATGCATTTAAACCAGTTTCAGTCGTATTTAAACCAGTTTGAGATGCATTTAAACCAGTTTCAGTCGTATTTAAACCAGTTTCAGTCGTATTTAAACCAGTTTGAGATGCATTTAAACCAGTTTCAGTCGTATTTAAACCAGTTTCAGTCGTATTTAAACCAGTTTGAGATGCATTAGTTTCAGTCGTATTTAAACCAGTTTCAGACGCATTTAAACCAGTTTCAGTCGTATTTATATCACGGAGCAGAAAAAGCATTTTAAATGTTCTCTAGTTTCCTCAGAAAACTTTAAATATTTTCCTGTTTGTGTGAATCAGAAGCTTAAAGGCGTCAAAGTGATGAATTTGCTCTTCATGTCAGACATGCAGCCATGTTGTAGTTTCCATCATAACAGCCGTTACATGCAGTAACATGTGCAGCAGCTGGATGATGAGGGAAGCTGCAGCACAGAGACGATGCTTCCTGTCATCCTCCTTCCTGCTGCAGCAAACGGCCACATGTGATGAGCTGAAGGTCAGGAGGAGCCGAGAGGTTCAGAGAACCAGAGGAAGCTCAGAACACGTCCAAGAGGAACCTCTGAGTCACATGACTGAACTGAACTGAGGAACAAGTGTGAAGCTAATATTAATAACTAACTGGTTGTTAACCAGAGAGTTTCAGCCCCAAGCTGAGAGTCTAATAATAACCTGTGATCTGCGTCAGTCTGACTGTTTTATTCTCGATGTCTGCAGAGGAACAAACTTCAGACAACAGGGCCTGAAAAATTAAAGATATTTTATTCATTGACAGGAGCTACAGTTTATACAGTCATCTGTCATTGCAGCTTGGCTGGTATAGAGATAGGGTCACTGTAACCCTAACCTTAAACTCTGACTGTGAAGTAACAAACAGAATCAGTGACAAACATCAGACCTGGTGGAGTCCAACCCTCAGCAGGAACCATCAGACTTACTGCCAGCAATGCAGATATTTATATAAGATATATTTTATTTAGTTATTCAAAAATGATTCTTTATTCTCTCTTTAGTTCTGACCTCAGTGCTGATCTGCACAACAACACAAGGTTGGTTCACTTTATATATATTTAAGTATATAAAGTATAAACTTTACACATTAAAACCTCACACACAAAAACACAAGAACATTTTGTTTCATGGTGAGACTTTTATTCAAAATAAAAAGCAGAAGATTTTCCTTCCAGCTGTTCATCTGACTGTGAGTCCCAGCAGATCCCAGTTCTTTGAAGGAGAATCAGTGACTCTGATCTGTGAGGATGAAAACAGATCAGCTGGATGGACAGTGAGGAGAAACACCAGCAGAGAGACCAGGAAGCCATGTGGAGATGGATGGGGAGAAAATGATGGTTCTACCTGTAACATCAGCTACTTGTTCACATCAGACACTGGTCTGTACTGGTGTGAGTCTGGATCCTCCAGCAGCAGCTGCAGCAGCAGCAGCAGCAGCTGCAGCATCCAGCTCTCTGTCTCTGGTAAGATCAGACTGTGGAGTTAGTGTTGCTGTGTGGAAATGGATGAAATGCTGTAGTTTGTCTCTGTGTTGAAAGGATCAGTGATCCTGCAGAGTCCTGTCCTCCCTGTGATGGAGGGAGATGACGTCACTCTGAGCTGCAGAGCAAGGAATCCAACCCACAACCTCCCAGCTGCTTTCTATAAAGATGGCTCCTTCATTGGTGATGGATCAGCAGGCAGCATGACCCTCCTCCATGTTTCCAGCTCTGATGAAGGCCTCTATAAATGTAGCATCAGCGGTTCTGGAGAGTCTCCATCCAGCAGGGTCTCTGTCAAAGGTCAGAGGTCAGCAGCTTCTCTGTCTGCATCATCAGGAGACAAGAAGTAAATGATTCTCTGGTTCATTTCAGGGAGAATCTCCTCCACTCCTCCTTCCTCCATCTCTCCTCCTCCTGGTTCATCTTTTCCCTCCATCATATCAGTTGCTGCCATTTTTATCTTCTTGGTTTTGCTCTCATTGATTCCTCTGGTTCTTCTGGTGAGACGATGTTTCTGCAGGAAACCTGAAGGTGAACTTTGAATATTGTTTTTTTCAATCATTTTAACAGACATGCAGTTTAATCTTTGTTTTGTTGTTGTTGCATGTTTTATTTTTCATTATTTTCAAAAACTGTTTATTTCAGCTGAAGATGGAAAAGATGGAGAAAAGGAAATTAGAGAACTGAAAACCTTCATTAACCAGCTGCAGCCAATCAGAAGCAGGAGAGGTAACAGGCTAACAGCTCAGTGGTTATTAATGCTAACAGCTAACAGCTCTGTGGTCGTCCAGCTTCCTGTTATTGTAGGAAACATGCAGGTCAAACTGGAGTTGCTCCTGGAGAACTGGGAGGTTTAAACTGGTTTCCAGTTGGAGCAGCAGACATAAGGAGGATCCAGCCTCCTGTCTGCAGTTTGACCAGGAAGCTGATAAAAGACTTCCTGCAGCTCAGAGTGGATCACTGAGTGGATCACTGTGTGGATCACTGAGTGGATCACTGTGTGGATCACTGAGTGGATCAGAGCTGCACTAACCTCACTGTTTGTGCTGCAGGAACCTCTACATGTGTCCTCTACTCAGCGCTGAGGACAGACGTCCATCAGGGACGGATCGTCTGCAGAGCCTCAGCGGCTTCGTCTCCAATCTGAGGAAATCTGGTCCAAATCACCAGCACAGAGATCTGGATCTGTTTTCCTGCTGCAGCAGCTCCAAGCCTTTAACATCTGGCCCACAGCATGATACCCACTGACCCGGTTCTGGTCCATCGCTCTGATCCTCTCAGACTTTCTCTGTCAGGAGGTCAAAGGTCACAGCATCTGACTGCAGGGTTTAGAAACAACCCATGAGTTTCTGAATTATTGTCCTGGACCAACATCCAGTCATCACGTGACTCCATGAACATGTGATTCATGCTGCCACCTGGTGACAGGAATCTGGTACTACAATCACAATATCTCAGCGTAAAACAGGAGCGTCCAAACTGTCCTAAACAAAGTCCGACTTTGGACACGGTTTACAAGAAAGACACTTGTTTTAATATCATCCTTCCATTTTCTAACAGCTTGTCCCAGTGGGGTCAGAGGTCAGGAGGTTCTGCTGCCTCTCCAACTCAGGTTCTGGGCGAGAGGCGGGGTCACCTGGACGGGTCACCTGGACGGGTCACCTGGACGGGTCACCTGGACGGGTCACCTGGACGGGTCACCTGGACGGGTCAGCTGGACGGGTCACCAGTCTGTCACACAACTGTTTTAATACCTGATCAGGTTTTAGAGAAATCTGATTCTATGAGTTACATTTGTGAAAAAGAAGAATCAAAAATAAAATTAATATTTACCGTAAAGACATTCTATATTTTGATGCAAAATAAAAGTAGCTCTATATTTTGCATCAAAATGTACAAAATAGAACCACAGTATATTCTTGCACAGTTATGGTTATGTATATATCTGCATAAAGTACAACATTTTAAATAATAAAATATGCACATTTTTCTTTTACTTCAAATATTGTATGCATGGATTATTTTTAGGATTATTTGTGATGTAGAAACATAAAGACAGTGAAGATAAAAATGAACCTGAGTTACTTTGGCAGAAATAAAAATCCTCTTCTGCACATTAAACATTAAATTATCCACATTTTTCTTGTGTTGTATTTATTTATCTAAAATAAAATAATAATAAAACTGTAATAAAGTGGTTTACATACAGTTCCAGGTATAGTTCTGAGTCGGCCAGTTTATTACAATGTGTCAGCTGAAAATCAGTATTGATGTGGTTGAATGTTCCCCCATATAAAGACATGATACCAACATGTTGTCTGTGTGATTCTTCCAAGCCAAGAATATCACAAAACCTGCTTCAGTGTGAAGAGCTTCATAAGCAAGGAGTCATAAAAACTTGATCCAGTTTCATTCACCAACATTCAGACGAAACTTTACAAAATCTCTGAGGCCAAACGTGAGTCCAGAGAAAACCAACATGGCCGACTGGGAAGAAGGTTGTTCAGGATGTAACCATGATGATGAGGGCTGGAAACAAGGCCTTTCCTTCGTGTTCTGCACAGTTCCTGGTTCAGATCCAATAGTTCTGGCAGGAACTGACTGAGTTCATGTCTCTGGTTGCTCTTCCTCAGGGTTCATGCTGCTCACACTCCCAAGAGTCGTGCTTTAAAATAAAACAAAGGTCTTAAAATGGTTGCTCCCAGTTCTTCTGCTACGGTCTTCTGATCCAGATTGTAGGAGTCAGTTCTGTTCTTCAGCTTTAAAGTGAAATGGTTCCTGCAACAGCTGGACTTCTGTGAGAGACGCCCACAAAGCCACTGGAACCAAGACAGAGCAGAGCGTCGCGCTACGTTCATGTGAACATGGCCACTAACAGACCAGACAGGTGGAAACAGGCCACGTTTTCACCAACACTGGTTTATTTGTGCTGAAATCTGGTTGAGACCAGTTTCAGTTAAAGTGAAGACGCTGAAACCAGCAGCCACAGAACCACAGAAACCAGCAGCAGCTGGTTTCTGTGGTTCAGACGAGATGAACAGGATGTGCTAACAGGAAACAGGCTGCAGGCCACTGAGCTGACTGGTGTCATGCAAAAAAACTCTTTCTAAGGACTGTTCAGGTAGAAGCACTCAATCAGGTTCATTCATGCATTCTGCACAATTATAAAAGCTCATAAGATAATCAAGCCGGTCTGGATTCAAGTCTAACCCAGCTCACTAAGCTCTGCCAGGCAGAGACAACATGGAAGTTTTCATACAATGATTAGAAAGGAAAGCAAGAGGCAAGAAGGTCTGGTCCTTATGCAGCTGTGGAAAACAACCTTCCTCAGTAACCCTCTCCATTTTCCGGGTTTGGGACCGGCATTAGCAATGTTTGGTCTTGTGTCCGTCTAATGGCTGGGTTACACTGATGTAAGCAGGGCAAAGCAGAAGAACAAGATCTGCTGATGTTTACAGCTGCTAGTCAGGCCTGAAGAGTCTCTACAGTTTCATCCTGGGGAGGAGAAACATTTCTCTTCTTCCAGACAAACCCAACCAGAGGAGCCAGAACAGCAACCACAGCAACCACCTTCAGAACCGGTCCAATGTGTCCTCCACCTGCAGAACAGAACCAGGAGTTAGTCTGATCCCACTGAAGATCATCATCAGTTGATCTGAGATCCAGAACCAGAACCTGCTGGTTCTGATCCAGAGACAAACACTCACCTGGAGGAGCAGCAGGAGGAGCAGCAGGAGCAGCAGCAGGAGGAGCAGCAGGAGCTACATGAAGGTAGACAGTGTTGAATGGCTGCATGTCTCTCTTATTGCTTTTTGTTTCTCCCTGAACATAACACTCATATGTTCCTCTGTCCTCAAGTTTCACGTTCCTCAGCTTCAAAGACACGTTTCCTTTCTCCATGTCCACCAGATCAACTCGACCCTTGAACCTTTGTTCTGGGATTTCCAGATCTGGGTTGTTAAACATTAGAACATATTCCATCTCTGTCCCAGGTCTGCTCCACTCCACAACTTCTAAAGGCCTGTAGTCGTTGGCTTCACATGGCAGAGTGACATTGTCTCCAACTGTAACATTGATGTTCACACCTGCAGGAGAGAAAACAGCACAGAGAGGATTAATGGAAATGAACCTTCTGAATTAAACTGTAGAGAAGAGACAGTCTCTACAGAACTGACCTCTGACCTCTGACCTCCCATTCATCAGCAAAGTTCTTGAAAAAACTGTAAAGAATTAAATAGTTTCCTCATGATGACCAACTGCTTTCACTCTTTCCAGTCTGGTTTTCATGCTCACCACAGCACGGAGACTGGCCTAGTCAAAGTATTCAATGATATCCATATAAATACGGACTGTGGACCACAGTGCTGGTTCTGGTTCTGTTGGACCTCAGTGCAGCTTTTGACATATTACTGAATGGACTGGAGAGTTGGGTCGGACTCTCCGGTTCGGTGCTCGACTGGTTTGAATCTAGAACAGGGATTACTTTGTTTCAATTGGAAACTTCTCATCAAAGAGGTCAAAGGTCACATGTGGGGAACCCCAAGGTTCAATCCTAGGACCCCTCTTATTTAATATTTATATTCTCCCACTAGCTCAGGTTATAACAGGAAATAATATTAGCTACCATAACTATACAGATGACACACAGTTCTACATTATGATGTAGAGATAGAGATGTAGAGTTATAGATCTAGAGCTATAGATCTAGAGTCAATGTACAGCTTCAGTTATTACAACTAAAAACTAGCGATCAGCCTGAAACCTGGGAGTAGTGATGACCTCTGACCTGAACCTTGCGAGCCACATAAAGACAATTACAAAGTCAGCCTTCTATCACCTGAAGAACATCTCCAGGATTAGAGGACTAATGTCTCAGCCAGATCTAGAGAAACTCATCCATGCGTTTATCTTTAGTTGCTTTGATTATTGTAACAGCGTCTTCACAGGCCTGTCCAACAAATCAATCCTCCAGCTGCAGCTGATCCAGAAGCTGCTGCTCCTGTTCTCACTAGAACCAGGAAGATAGAGACATAACAGCAGTTTTAAAGTCCCTCCACTGGCTCCCTGTAGCTCAAAGAATAGATTTTAAAATCCTGTTGTTAGTTTATAAATCACTGAACGGTTTAGCACCACAATACATCAAAGATCTGCTGTTGTTGTATCAACCTTCCAGACTCTCAGGTTCTGGTTCTGGTTCTGATCTGCATCCAGAACCAGAACCAAGAGAGGAGAAGCAGCTTTCAGCATCTATGCACCAAACATCTGGAACAAACTTCCAGAAAACTGTAAAACAGCAGAAACCCTGACTTCCTTTAAATCTAAACTAAAAACCAGCTGATTAGAGTTTTAATATGTAACAATGTTTTGTTTATTATATGACTTTGTGTTTATGATGTAAAGCACTTTGAAATGTCTTGCTGCTGAAATGAGCTATACAAATAAAATGTGATTTGATTTGATTTGATTCTGGACATTAAGAGTGGTTGATCCTACTTGAAAAAAACTAATAGATCTTTTGTGGTTTCATGCTGTGAAGGTCAATCACATTACAGTCCTTATGATACCAGAATCTTTCAGAAACAGAAACACATCTTAGAACCTCGACTCTGATCTGGATCATCAGAAGAAATCCAGATTGTAATGTATTTCTGCTAACCTGCAATCAACCAGTAAATATTAGAACATTCCCATGTTGTGATTTTCAGATTCAACAGAACTTTGGAGCTGATGTTTTGATTATTTATCCCAGAAGAGGTAAATAATAAAAACAGTAGCAGAGGCTTTAGAAGAGGAGAGGAGCTCAGCATAACAGATACTGGATGGATGGATGTAGTAAAGATGAATGTGCTTCATCTGTACAGTAGAATCATTTCACACTCATTTTCAGTTAATGGGACACACGACTTGGAAGTTATTGAAGAACTCATATTATTTAATATTCAAATTATTTATCAACCGGTTTCCTTAGTGCGGCCTGTCATTCAGTAGTGCAACAGTAAAACATAAAGTCTGAAGAAAAGCAGGTAGTGTGTGAGACAAAGAAACATTTATATTTAGAACCAAAAAAACAAAGTAACTAGAACCTCAGCTTACTGCTAAAGGTCCAAAACAAACACAAATAATAATAAATGAAGTATTAATTCTTAGGTTGCTGCTGCTTCTCCAGCTGCCTTCCAGGTGAGAGGCGGCTCACCTGGACAGGTGTCCAGTCTGTCACTTAAACCTTCAACAGAGGATAATGCGCCTCGTGTGACAGAATGAATTATTATCAGTTTTTCTGTTGTTCCGCTAATGGCTAAAGCTACGCGTCATAATGCTCACGATGTGCTTGCAGGGAAAAATGACAGACTGATAATAAATATGTTTAATAATAAACATAATCGCTGCTTGCTCTGTCAATGATGTTTTTATCAAAGATGTTAATGTTTCTAATCAGAAGAAAACAAATGTCTTGAAGTAGAGAACTGACCAATAGCAGGGCCAAAGCCGACAGCAACCAGGAAGAGACACACAACCTTTAACTGTGCGCCTCTTCTGAAGCGCAGAGAGGTTCGGTGGCTTGAGTCCATGTTACTCCTGACACTGTGGCGTCTGTCGTGTTCCGCACACTGAGCGGCACACCTGGCTGTAAACAGGAAATGGCGAAACAGAACACAATTCGGTTCCCCTGTGAAAATCTGTTCCCTCTGTGTCGGGAACGCGCATTACAGCCAGACAGGCGAAAGAGGAACCTATACGTGAAGCTGACACCCCACCTACGTCATCAAATCCAGCTGATAGTCTGATTGGTCAGTGCTCCGTTAGTGCAGGTTTGTGCCGTTAAAATATTCGTTTGTGCAGCTTTCGTTGTTGAGATATTAAAAGTTATCATATTTTCAGATTATGTCCCCTCCCCCACCCCGTTTCTTGCTCCAACAAAAAAAATGAAATAGGCTAGTTCGTTATGCAAATGAGAATTTGAGATGACCCCATTATTGTTATTCTTACTATTTTCTAAATATACCAACAAAATCTTATTTCACTTTATTTGGTATCAGAGTGTAATATTCACTGAGCACATTCACCTAATTAGGGGACAATTAATTTCACCTGCTGCATGCTGTCCTCCCTGTTTCATTTCTTCATCAGTTGTCTTCCAGCAAATTCCTGTCTGTGGGTAAGTTTTGTTTTTGTGTCGTTTTTATGCAATTGAGGTTATTAATTATTATAGAAAAGGTACTTTCTATAATGCCAAGAAGTCATGGCATAATCAATACAGTTAGAAGAAAAAAATCTCTGGTAATTTATTATTTTTTTTGTGATGCATGAACTTCCATACATGTGTGTTATGGTTTGCTATTCATCCACCCAAATATCTTCTTTGTGAGGCAATTGAGAAGTAATGAACCATGGAAGTGACTGGTTTTAAAATGCAATATAAGTTGACAGTCAAATAAGAAACGGTGTTGATTTGAACAATGAACTTTAACAATTGAAACAACAACAACAAACATTGACAATTGGAAATTAATTTCTCCTCTTTGAATACAAAACTCCTGTCTTTTGAGATTTATGCAGAAAGAAATATGAAAACATGAAACTCATCAAAATATCAAATCCTTTTCCACATAAGAACTTGCAAAAAGAAAAAAGAAAAAATCTAATCAGGGGTATGTAAACATGGTATGTTGCTCTCTTCAAACTTTCTCCCCAACTTTTTTCTATCACAGATCTGCTGTGTATAGCACTGCATGTGGAAGTATTTTGTTTGTTTCAGACACTGTCTTCATGATATTGGCAAGGTCATCATAAAGCTCCCACACAGATGGAGCTCTCCGGCAGCAGGCAGTGTAATGTCCAAGGCCATCTTTGGTCAAGCTTCCCTGAAAGCAACGATTCCTCTCAAAGTTAGTGTTTTTTCTTGGAGAACCATAGTGGAGGGAAATTCACTTAACGCAAATTCTGTTGGGTTTGAAAGGTCAGTGTCAACCTGTAACGGATTGTAAAATGAAATGTCTAAATTATTTGTAGTTTATTTAAATTAAACAATTTAAATGAATTTCTAATTTAAGACTGTTGCAGATTGTTTATGTATGTTTGTCTGTTTTGGTTTGCATTGTTGGTGATTTGTTTGGTTTAATGGTATTTTGTAATGTTTGGGATTTTTTTTGTTTAATACGTACCTCACGGGCTGCCGTAGAGAAAGAGGGCAGGGCCTATAAAACTGGGGAATTGCAGTGAACCAAATGAACTGTCAAACGTTGGACTAAGAAATGGCGTTCCCCAGTAAAGGCAGCGAGGTACGTTTTTGTTTGTTGTTGTATTGTTGATTTGTGTTGTATTTTAATATTTGTATTTGTTTAGTTTTCACGGTGATGGTGATGATGATGGTGATGATGATGGAGGTTTTGAAGTCAAGTGACCTGACGATGATCCAGCAAAATCATCAAAGGAGAAATAAAGCCAATATCACCTGTCGAGACCGACTGTTTTTTAATTCAAGTACTGGGGATCAACTACAGTGAAAACTCGAGGTCTCCGTGTGTCGCCTTCCAATGACGGTGAGACGTTTGGTACGGACATCGCCGAAGTTTGTCGCTCCTCGGAATCAACGCTACAATGAGGAACTGTCTTCGCGCTGGATCCAAGTTTGTATCAGAAACTGAATCTGACAGATGACCACTGGAGCGGTGAGACATTGACTGATCAATCAACGCGGAAATAACGGCACCTGCTCGATATTTATGAACTGAGTTTAGACCGCTATTGGGTCAAATGAAATTCTGAATTATTTACAAGGTAGTAGCATATGTAAGAAAAAATTATAAAAAAAAAAAAAAAAAACAATGGTGTTTTGTAATTAAATGTTAAGTTTGAATGTGGGTTTAATTTCACTGTAAGGTCTTAGAGTTAAGATGTCACTGCCAAATGAAATGGATCTTTCTGCTGAAGATGTGAAAACTGAAGAAAAGCCAAAGGGACAAGAGTTGGTTTCAGGTCCTCGCACAAGAAAGTTGACTGAAAAGGGAGAGCAGTACAGAGAAGAAGAGTCTGCAAAACAGATAAAGGCATTTCTTAAGTCTTATGCATCCTGGAAACAAACTGCAAGAGAAGCAAGGAAGAAACTAAAGGGTTTCTGCTCTGAGGAGAATCTGGATGAAATAAATAAGCAAGTCCAGAACAGTCTTGATAAAGTGAAACAGAATTATGAGTTTCTTCAACGTAATTTTTTAAATACTCCAGATATTGTGCAGAAACTAGATGCCTGTACTATATTAACAAATGAGATTTATGATCTTGTGTGTAAGCGTTTAGAAAGGGGTATGTTGAGGAAAACTTTAATCAAGAAGTTGAAAAGGAAAGAGTGAGAGAAGTCTTAAATAGAGATGAATATCAATCTGTTTTTGGAGAAGCGTCTATTGAAAGTTCTCCCTGCAGTTCATCAATTACTAGCTCCAAGGTTTCTCAGGGGCGTGTAATGGCAGAAGCTGATCTTGCAGCCAAAAGGGTTCAAGTTAGATCAATGTTGGAGATTGAAGCTCAGCATGCTAAAGTCAGTAAACTTGAATGTGACTGGAAATGTCATGAGTCCCAGATTATGGCAGAAATGAAGCAGAAGGAAGATGAAGTGCTACAGCAGCTTGATGAAGAGAAGAGCAAGTTAAAGGTAATGCAAACAGACATGGAAGTTAAGATGGCTGCAGCTCGGGTTGATGTTTACAGCAGACTTGAAGATGGTGTTGAAAAGGGAAATCTTGATTTTAAGTCTGAGGTTAAATCAGAGCAAACACTGAAACACCCAAGTCATAAAGCTGCAAAGGTTGCATCAATTCTACCACCTCATGTTGGTGCTGAGATTCCTGCAGTGAACTTGGCTGAAGCCTTAACGAGCTCATTGAGTTTAAGTCGCCTTCCTGTTCCTGAACCTGCTATATTCTCTGGTGACCCTTTGAAATTTGTGGACTTTAAGATATCATTCACAACTTTAATTGATTCAAAATCCATCTCTGCTGGGGAAAAAATGTTGTATCTGAAAGGTTATCTTTCAGGAGAAGCCCGAAAGGCTGTAGAAGGTTTCTTTTACAGAAGCTCTGAGGACGCATATGAAGGTGCTTGGTCAGTTTTACAAGATAGGTATGGAAACCCATTTGTCATCCAGAAAGCATTTAGGGATAAACTTATGTCATGGCCAAAGATTGCACCAAACGATCCATTGTCTCTCAGAGATTTTGCTGACTTTTTGAAAGGTTGTGAAGAGGCTATGCCTCAAGTAAAGGGACTGTCCATCTTAAATGACTGTGAAGAAAATCATAAGATGTCGAAGAAGTTACCAGACTGGGTTGTACGTAAATGGAGTAGAGTTGTTGTTGAAGTACTTGATGCATGTGGAAAATATCCATCCTTTGAATGTTTTTCTAGATTTATACAAAAGGAAGCACGTATAGTATGCAACCCTGTTGCTTCTCCATTTTTGTTAAAGTCTAGAACTTCTTCAAATGACCTTTCCAGGAAAGCAAAGGTTCTTAACACCAGTACGGAGTTTAAGAAACAAGAAAGTGTTCATGGTTTAAAATCTAAACTGCCTTGCTTGGTTTGTGCAGACATGTCACACAGTGTTGCTAAATGTCCTAAATTTGCAGTTAAATCAATGGAAGACAAAAGATCATTTATATCAGAACCATCTTTGTTTTGGATGTTTAAGGAAAGGTCATTTATTGAAAGATTGTAAAACGCGGCATGTTTGTGGGGAGTGTAGACGGCATCATCCTACTTGTTTGCACAAGGAGAGAGTCAGATCTCATGATGTTGCTCAGCAGTGCTCCATAACTCCAGAAGAAACACCTCAGGTTTCTCATAGTGTTTTTCTCATGCACTCATCCGAAACATTTCTGCTACATCAAGTATTGTTCCAGTTTTCCTGTCCTCTGTGAAGGATCCTGGGAAGGAAATACTTACATATGCACTCCTTGATACTCAGAGTGACTCCTCCTTTGTTTTAGAAGATCTTGTGAGAAACTTGATTGTTGAAACCAAACCAGTACAGTTAAAACTTAGTACCATGGTTTCTGTTGATACACCCATTTCAAGTCAAAATGTGTATGGCTTGCAGGTTCGGAGTTTTTTCTCTGATACTTGTATACAGTTGCGGCAAGCATATACACGTGACTTTATTCCTGTTGATACATCTTGCATACCAAGTAGAAGTACAGCATTACAGTGGCCTCACCTTAAACATCTAGCTGGAGAAATGCCTGCTTTGCAAAATTGTGAAGTAGGTTTACTTATTGGTTTTGACTGTCCTTCTGCTTTGGCTCCCTTGGAAGTTGTTGTTGGTGGGGAAAATGAACCTTTTGCTCAGAAGACTGCTCTTGGTTGGAGTATTATTGGGGCAATTAATCCACATTTAGATCGGCAAGGAAACCAAAGATATGTACACAGAGTGATGGTGAAAGAAATGCCCACTCCATTAACTTCTGATGTTTTAAGAGCTTTGGAGTTGGATTTTAATGAAAGGGGTTCAGAAGGAAAATGTGTTTCCCAAGATGACATTCGGTTCATACGACTTCTGAGCGAAAACATTATACAAAAAGATGATGGCCATTTGGAGATGCCCCTTCCATTTAAAACATCCTGCCTTCCTATGTTGCCAAACAATAAGACACTGGCTACCGTTCGTTTACAACATCTGAGGAGAAGGTTAAAGAGAAATGATCAGTTCTACAATCATTATAAAACATTTATGGAGTCTATCATTAACTGTGGAGATGCTGAACTAGTTTCTGAGGAAAATGCCAATGATGGTTGTGTGTGGTACTTGCCTCATCATGGGGTGTATCATTCAAAGAAACCACATAAGTTAAGGGTAGTGTTTGACTGCTCAGCTAAATTTCGTGGCATCTCTTTGAATGATACTTTGTTGACTGGTCCAGATTTGATCAACTCTTTAACTGGAATCCTCCTGCGTTTCAGAAAAGAAGCTGTGGCTATTACTTGTGACATTGAAAGGATGTTCCACCAGTTTTATGTTACGTCTAACCATCGCTGTTACCTGAGGTTTTTATGGTGGGAGCAAGGAGATTTGGATGGTCTAATAAGTGTTCCTACAGAAGACACTGGAACGTTTCACTAAGTTTTCATCTTGGTCAAAATTGATTAAAGTTGTTGCCAGAATCAAAAGACTTGGATGCCACAACAAATGCTATTCAAACGTGGTGAGTGTTAAAGAACGGGAAGATGCTGTTAAATCAGTGGTGAAACTTGTACAAGAACAGGCTTTTGGCTCCGAGATGAGGTTGTTAAAAGGGGAGACATCCTTCCCCGTTCTAGCCTTTGTTCAATTTGAATCCTATTGTAAAAGATGGACTGCTGCGAGTTGGTGGACGATTAAAACATTCACCTCTTAGTGAAGATTTTGGATATCCACTGATTTTGCCAAAACACAGCCATGTTACTCATCTTATTTTGTCTTACTGTCACAATCAAGTAAGTCATCAAGGCAGAGGTCAAACTCAAATGCAGGTCCGGCTTAATGGGTTTTGGATTATTGGCTGCAGCAGGTTGGTGGCTCAGATGATTCATAAATGTGTGCAGTGCAGGAAGATCAGACGTCCAGGAAGAACAACTTATGGCTGAGCTTCCAAAAGAACGCTTGGAAGCATCTGCACCATTTACCTATTGTGGAATGGACTGTTTTGGTCCTTTTATTGTTAAAAGAAATCGTAAGGAATACAAAAGTTATGGGTTGTTGTGCACCTGCCTTTATTCAAGAGCTGTTCACATTGAAATGTTGGAGGATTTGTCCACAGATTCTTTTATTAATGGCCTGCGCTGTTTCATTAGTTTGAGAGGAGCCGTTCGCCAGATATATTGTGATCAAGGAAGAAATTTTATAGGAGCCCAAAATGAGTTTAAACAATGTGGTCCTAAACATTTGGAGTCTTTCCTGGCAGAAAATCAATGTGAGTTCATTTTTTAATGCACCATCAGCAAGTCATGCTGGTGGTGTTTGGGAGCGTCAGATACGAACCATTCGAAATGTATTAGCTTTTACTCTATCACAAAACTTGGGAAAACTTGATGATGCTTCATTAAGAACTTTCTTTTATGAAGCCATGGCCATAATTAATAGTCGTCCTTTAACACTGAAGGGAATGAACGACCCTGGTTCTCTTGAACCTTTAAACTCCTAACCATCTGCTTCAGATGAAGTCTGAGTCTGCCTTGCCTCCTGTAGGAAAATTTGTGAGGGAGGATATCTATTCCTCAAAACGTTGCGCGCCGTGTGCAGTTTCTGGTTGAGCAGTTTTGGAGTCGGTGGAAGAGAGAATACCTCCAGAATATTTCCATTAGACAAAAATGGCATGTAGTTCGGCGCAATTTAAAAATAAATGATATTGTAATAGTAAAAGAGGATTTTCCCAAGAAATAGGTGGCAGTTGGGTCGTGTTGTTGAAACAATTGTTGATAGCGATGGCTTG